CCCCAAAACCCCAAAACCCCAAAACCCCAAAACCCCAAAACCCCAAAACCCCAAATAAAGTATTAATTTTTGAATAAATTTAAAACTAACTTCAGCAAATGGATCAAATTCATGGAATAATTCTCTCACTTCAGGATTTATACAGCAAGAAGTCTCACAAACCGCGCAAAGTTTACTCAATAAATTATGCGAACAACAAAATTTATCAAAAATAGAGCTCAAGGAGAGTACATGAGTCAAGAAAGAGCTTCTTATAATCAAGAATACATTGAAGGAGCTCCTTCAGCCAGATCTGCTTATCACTCCGAACAAAAGATTCGAGAATTGAATTCTGATGTATATTGCCTAACTAACCTACAGCATATCATTCCTGAGGAGCCAATAAGCCACAATATCAGCTACGATAACCTATTCAAAAACTCTACAGAGCCTATTCCAGAAGAGGTAGACCCAGTAACAAAATTCTTAGCCAAGATCGAAGCTGATCTTCAGCAAGAATCCACTGAAGATATTGCCAAGTATGCTGATTTTTACCAAAATAGACACAAATAAAAAGCTCAATAGTAAATAAAATTGGGGCTATCGAACGAGTCAAAAGCAGACAAGAAGTCATAAACAAGGAGCACTATCATGACTACTGAAATGACTTTCCAGGTAATGGTATCCTTGACTTGTAGAGTATTTCGATGACCAGCAGCCAGGAGAATATCCGACTAATTATCACCACTCGAAGTTACTCCAGTATACTAAACCTTCCATCATGGCAATGCTCCAGAAGGAGCCTCCTAAACAAGAGCTTACTCATAAGGAGAAAAGAGATCTCCAGCTTTACAAGCTAAAAACTATGATCAAGTACAAAGAAGAAATACAGCGGCTTAAATAACCAATCTGAAAGAGAACGAAGAATCACTAGCAAGGCTAGCTCAAGGGCATTAGACACGGTAAGTTTGGCCTGCTTAATTGTGCTAGTTTAACAAAAGTTTGTATCCTAAGGATGCCAAATCAGTCTCCCAAACTAGAGTTAAAAGCCACACAGCTGTGGGGTTTTACCATAAAAATAACACCAAGCCTTCATCGAAGACCAGATATTCTCAGAAGCGAGAGAAAATTAAAATCAGGTAAAGCTATTATTTTGAGCAAGTAGCCAACTAAACACTCATATATCTTTTAAAAGAAGGAACAAGGTCAGATCTAGCCAAATTAATAAGCGTGATAGAATGAATTTTAACAGTTACGACCAGAATCAGCAAATCTCAGAAGATAAAGAGAGAACGTTCGGGTACTCAACGAACAAGTCTGACAATTCACCTAAATTTGCTCCTCATACTCAATTCGCACCAACAAGGTTCCGAAGACAGCCTCAATTCAGGATTTCAGTGCCTGTCTCAAAGCTAGAGCAAGATAAAGATGTCCTTAAAGTAAGATCCTTCCCAAAATAACTAAAATTTTGCAAGACCTCGCTCATAAAAACTTCTAGACAATCCTGAAGGAATCTCCTCAACTCATTGAATTCTTGTTGAAAAGTCATCAAAAAGATTCAGACTCCGAAGAAAATGAACAGATTACTAAAGCGTTGAAGGTAACTCCCATTCAAACACATAGAAATTATTTGAGGAGAATCCTGATCAAGATTTGCCGAACAAAAAGGACATCATAAACTTGATTAGCTCGAACGAGAAATCAAGCATCACTATATTTGACCCATTCCTGAACATTAAGAAATCAGGCTCGACTAATAACCCTATTCACACTAGTAGGAGGACTGAGGAACTGAGGAATAATTTGGTCAGTGAAACCTACAAGATTGTGCATAACATGCTCTCTGGGAAGAAACTGAGAGCTAATAGGACTGACAGTCCTCAACTTTGCGAGAAAGTATCAGAGAAGATGCAACTAGATATCCCATTTCTTAAGGAATTCATCAGAACTATCACATATGAGCAAGGTATAGCTATGGTTTACCTTTAGACATTCCAAAAGGGGATGAAAATAAAGATGAGTCTAATGGCAAAGAGACTAAACAAAATGAAGAGTTTAGCACCATACCTGCTGGTCAGAGTTTGGTTAAGCTCAAGCCAAACTACACTTCTAGTTCCTTCTACAGCCATAAGCCTTTGGATACGACTTCCAAAGTTGGAGCTAGTGACTATAATAAAGTTAATAATTTGGATGAAACTATCTCACTTAAAAAGCTATCTGATGTAAACAAAGATATCAGAAATGTCTCAGATGAAGTGACCAAAATGAACTTACTCAGAGAAAAGAAGTCGACCAAACAAGTAGCCAACTCGCCTCTTAAGATGAATGAAACAAATGAATACAAAGATGTGTCTTTCTCAGTGCCAAAGCTAGTCACATACAATAATAGAAAGGCTGCTAATAGAAATTTCAATCAAAATACAAAGTTAGTAACGTCAAATACACTCAGGAGTGTTTCCAAAACTTCAGGTATTTCCTCGACTGATTTTATAGATAAACCGGTATCTGCAAGGAACTACTCTGTCTTAATCCCGCAGTCAGACAGTGGGTATATATTAGGCTCCTATCCTCATGATAAGAGCAAAGTGACGAAGAAAAAGATCAACAAATGTACTTTCAAGAATTTTAGTAACTCAGTAAGTTTACTTAGAAAGTAAGGAGATCAAGGGAAACCTAACATCTCCTTACTTTTATTCGTAAAGTAAATGTATCTCTCAGCAGAATATTATATGGCAAAATGATATACACTGTATAGACATCGAGGGTACCTAACAAACTATCGCAACCCAAGAAAGCAAAGATAAATAATTTTGCAAGGATCAGTCTCTATAGTACTTTTAGAATATAAGGTTTATATAGAACAGAAAAATAACAAGAAGAGTACTAAAAATTCTGTGAGAGGAGTGATGACTACCAACTCAAGCCAAGGTAAGGAGTTAAGCTTATTATAGACTTTAAATCAACCCAGCTTGCCCATGTCAGATCTCTCCAAAAGCAAATGGAGAACCTTAAAGACCTCAACACAAGGTATAAACCATCATAACCCCTAGAGAGAACACGATTCTAAGGTCTAGCTTAGAAAGTCTACTCCAAGGTCACCAAGGTACCTTCTTCTAACCCTCCAGACGTCCAAAACTCCACCACAAAACCCACCCAAACCGGCCTCTACAAGAACAAATACAGTCCTAAAAACTCCACAACCAGTACCAAAATGGCCATTTCCGCGCCTAAATCAATCCAAAATTCCTTACTAAGTAAGCCTAATTTTTACCCATAGGAAAAATTCTTCCAAAGAAATTCAAAGTTGAACGCAAGAACATTTGATCTAAAGTCTCTGTATTCCCTCCTTCATAAATTTATTTAAAAATTAGAGCTTGAGTTGTAAGTTATAGGGGTTAAGGTCTGAAAAGGGGTTTTGGGGTTTTGGGGTTTTGGGGTTTTGGGG